TAGATAGAGAGATAGATAGATAGATAGATAGATAGATAGATAGATAGATAGATAGATAGATAGATAGATAGATAGATAGATAGATAGATAGATAGATAGATAGATAGATAGCCAACCAATATAAAATGGGATATGTGTAAACTGAATCATAAAATAAATAAATGGGGCACCGTGCAGAAAAGGGCTGTTTTGATGCTTGCATGCTTGCATTTCAAAAAGCTGGGATTAAGAGAAAAAGGAGAGAAGGCGAGGCGGGTTGGGGGGGGCTGGAATGGGGGATCAGAGAGAAGAAAAGGCAGCCTGCCAGGCTGAAGGGCGTCCCAGAGCCCCAGAGCTTCTCCCATCCTTGACAGTGATGTGGAGGGACCTCCCCCGGCTGGATCCTGGCCAGCAGCCACCGGCCCACCCCCTCTGCCTCCCTTCTCCCAAGTAAGGAGGGGAGTGCGCTGAAGGGATTGAACCCGTGCCCACAGCTCATTAGCGAGGAACAATCTTGTAAAGAGGCAACCAGATCCTCCCCAGGCGAATGAATGAGTGGGGTCCACAGGGAGTTGGGGCTGCTGCCAAGCCTCGAAAGACCCACAATGCAGGACCTTTAACAAGGAGCTTTGATCAAAGACACGGCATCATCCCCGGGCTGCAGATCTAACACTTCCCATGAAAACGTAGGGAAACTGTCTTGCCCAAGGCTAAGTGCTGGTAGCTTCAGAGTTTCCGCCTCCCCAACAGGCCCATCCACAATGACTTTGAAGGGTTATTTTTTCCCACTTCACGCATTGATTATGAGATGTTGGAGTTTCATTTGCAACCTTGCATACTGGGCGGCTGCGAACTGGGAGGGATTTCTCTGGGCTGGCGTATTTGTCTATCCAGGACTAACCAGTTGTTCCTTCCAGCCTCTTTCCCTCTCTTTAGGCTGCTGGGAGCAGTTGTATGGTTGCTGCTGATCTGTTCCATGGGTCACCGGTGTATGTGTACAGTAAAGAAAGCAACATGCACAAGTCTGTCCTTTCAGGCCATTTTAAGTCATGATTTTTATTCTTTCTCTTCCGAATGTCTCAGAGTGAGGTACTGAGACTTTAAGTGGCAAAAGGACCAGAAATTCAAAACTCTGCAACATTAGATGGGGAAGGTAAAGGTAAAGGTTCCCCTTGACAACATTAGATAGGGAAGGGGGTAGAATTTACTCATTTACT